CATGAAGAGGAGGAAGCTCATTAAGGTTAAATGACTTGTCCACCTACACATCAGGCCTCACGGACCACAGTTCCAAAACACATCTCAATCTGCAATTCTGCCAGGCATCATCCCCACATAGATCCCCAGGCAGAGCCTCTCCTGTTGGGGTGTGTGCCTTCGATAGATCAGTGTCTGCGGGCACCCGGCTGAGGCTATGATCCACTAGGGCTGCTGCAGTGCACATCTTAGCGCCAGGCTTGGGGCTGGGAGTCCTGCCTCGCACTAGAACCCAGGGAGAGCTGCAAGAGCCGCCGGCCAAGTGAGCAAGTGCTGTCCTCAGGAGGCTGAGGAAGGGAACATGGGCAGACCCAGGGTGACTCATGTCCATGACCATATTCCAGCAATTCCAAAGGTTCGGCCCCAGGGCTAGGATTGTGGCTCAGTGGTAGAGTGCCTACCTGGCATGTGCGAGACCCTGGGGTTCGATCCTCAGCACCACATAAAAATAAATAAATAAAGATATTGTGTCCAACTACAACTAAAAATATTAAAAGGAAAAAAAAAAGTTTCTGCCCCCGAGATGATTAGAAAAACAAATAAGCCAGTCACAATGGGGACAATGGGGAGGGAGGGGGTGGCCAAGGAGGCCCGTCTTTACACACACCGTGTAAAGACGGTGTTGTGGGAGTTAGGGGTGAAGTAGAGAGAAGCTGAGGAGAAAGGCGCGGACACGGTGTTCATTCTGCAGTGCTGCCCTGAATTCTTCAGAAAGCTGCTAAAGGGGAGGAGGTGGGTGACTTCAGGGAGACCTTTTTTTCCTCCATAGCCTAGATCTGAGTGGGGTGGATATTACTTCTGAGTTGCGTTCCCACTACTTATCACATTCATCTTTCCTTGCAGTGGTGGACTTATTATTTTTTTTCTGAAGAGCAGTAAGGGAGTTCAGAGGGAATCAACAGCTCCTGTGCTGTGTCCTTACTCAGAACCTTTATTTCACTTGTATCCTGTAATTTATAACTAAAGACAATTAGCTACAGCTCTATGACACCCACCCTCAGTCCTTCACACTTTTATTTGTCTGACTGGTATTATTATTTTTGTACCAGGGATTGAAACCAGGGCCACTTAACTACTCACTCACATCCCTAGTGCTTTTAAAAGTATTTCATGGTCTCACTGAGTTGCTTAGGGCCTCACTAAGTTGCTGAGGCTGGCTTTGAACTTGCAATCCTTCTGCTTCCAGCCTCCCAAGTCGCTGTGTATGTGCATCTGTACCTGGCTATTATTATTTTTGAGACAGAGTCTTGCTGAGGTGTGCAGGCTGACCTCAAGTTAATGATCCTCCTGCCTCAGCCTCCCAAATAGCTGGGATTACAGGTGTGCCTATCATGCCTGGCTCTGTAACTGGTATTATTTCAGAGGTGTTTTTTTCTGATCATAAAATGGACACTAATGATATACCACTATTAAAATTTACTTTATTATCAAAACTTTATCAATTTCTGAATTGGGTATCTTTTTTTATAAAACAATTTTTTTCAAAATTCAAGTTTGCAAACTCTGGCCATGAGTACAGTGATAAAGGAAATGTCCAGGCTAGGCACAGAGGTGTGCCCATGTGTAGTTCTAGGTACTCTGGAAGCTGAGGCATGAGTATCACTTGGGTCTAAGAGTTTGAGGCTAGCCTGGGCAACAGAGTGAAATCCTATTTCAAAATAAATGAATAAATGATAAATAAATTAAAGGAAACATTTGTTCTCCAAGATCTCTCTCTTCTTACTCCATTATACCATTTTATACCTTTTTTTTTTTTGGTATCAGGAATTGAATCCAGAGGTGCTTAACCACTGAGCCACACACATCCTCAGCCCTTTATTTTTATTTTTTATTTTGAGACAGGATCTTGCTAAATTGTTTACGGCCTCACTAAGTTGCTGAAGCTGGCTTTGAACTTGCAATCCTCCTGCTTACAGGTGTGTGCCGCATGCCTGGCACCATTACACGCTTTTGTGCCCAAGTGCATGATCACAGAGGGATAGTAAGTCTCAGAGTTGGAAACTTGAAACCTGGAGTTAGAAGGACCTGGATGCAAATCCCAGGTCTGCCTCAGCTTCCGCATCTGCAAAACGGCAATAATGAGCAGCTGCTTCACAGGTAGCTGGGTGACTTTGGGAAATTTACTTCAACCTCACACAGTTTAGTCACCTGTAAATTGAGGCTAATAGTACTTAAGAAGTAAAGGAGGTGACACAAATAATGTGCTTATACAATGCCTAACAAATTGTCATTGTAAGTAACAGTTATCATGTGTTTCACAGTCACTTGTACTGAAGTCGACTTGACGTGCTCAAGAACAGTGTTCTGGGGCTGGGGTTGTGGCTCAGCGGTAGAGTGCTCACCTCGTATGTGCAGGGCCCTGGGTTCGATCCTCAGCACCACATAGAAATAAATAAATGAAATAGAGGTATTGTGTCCAACTACAACTAAAAAATAAATATTAAAAAAAAAAACAGGCCAATTCTTCTTTGCTTCATTCACAGCCTCTGAATATAGCCCCTTCATAATCTTAACAATGCTTCTCCCCTGATGACTACTCATGACACTAACAGCTGTGTTGAGCAAAGGCTGTGCGTTAACTCTACTTCATACTTACTCATAGAAAGTTTTCTTTAAGCTGGGTGCAGTGGCGCACGCCAGTAATCCCAGCAGCTCGGGAGGCTGAGGCAGGAGATTCATGAGTTCAAAGCCAGCCTCAGCAACAGCCAGGTGCTCAGCAACTCAGTGAGACCCTGTCTCTAAATAGAACACAGAACAGGGCTGGGGGTGTGGCTCGGTGGTTGAGTGCCCAAGTTCGATCCCTGGGACCCACCCCCTGCCCAAACAAACATCTTTCGTGTCCACGTTGACATGCCTCAGCTTTTGTCCCTCTTCTCTGCCTTCCCCTCATCACGTGGCCAGATGGGCCTGTGCTGGATGGAGGCAGTGGATGCAGATGGGTGAGAGCTGTCACAGCTCAAGGCCTGGCATGTCTTCTAGGGAGCCCTGGGAGACCCTCATTTTCATTAGTGTTATTCATGATTTTGCATGTACCAGCGATGTGTGTTTGTAATCCCAGTTACTTGGGAGGCTGAGGCAGGAGGATTGCAAGTTGAGGCTGGCCTGGGCGATTTAGCAAGACCATGTCTCAAAATAAAAAGGGCTGAAGATAGAGCTCAGGCATAGAGCGCCCCTGGGTTTAATCTGAGTAACACAAACAAAACACTACAAAAACAAACAAAAAAAACATTCAGGGTTTGAATACCGACCTAACAGAAGGTACACCTGGTTTGATATATAAGCTGCAAAGCCACCCCCCAAAGTGCTGAGGGCCCATTCAAGAACAGTGTTCTGGGGCCACATCCTCAGCCCTTTATTTTTATTTTTTTATTTTGAGACAGGATCTTGCTAAGTTGTTTAGGGCCAGTTCATGGCCCTGACTCCCAAACTTCTTCTGACTCTTGCCCACGCTTTCTGCCCTCCCCCTCCCCCATGCCAGCCAGGTACTTCTGAAGATGTTTCAAATTTTTTGAATATTGAGATCTCTGTCCTTTTCCTTTTAGAAAGACCCTAGGATCCTGGTGCACATCATCCTCTTCTGGGTTGGTCAGCTTTGGGATGCTGTGACCAGAGTACCTGACATAAACAATTTGGAGAAAGTTTATTTTGGCTCCTGGTTTCAGAGATTTAGCTCATGGTGGGCTGACTGCATTGCTTTGGACCCAAAGTGAGGCAGCATTTCATAGCAAAAGAGCATGGCAGGGGGAAGCAGCAGAGGACGGAAAGTAGAGGGGCTGCAGGCCACGGGATCCTCCCAGGGCATGCCCCAGTCCCCACCTCCTCCGGCTATGCCCGCCCCTGCCCATAATTACCACCCAGTCAGCCACTCAAACTAGACGGACTGATTAGGTTACAGCTCTCATAATCATGTCGCCTCCGAACACTCCTGCCTTAGCACAGGAGCTTTTGGGAACACCTCATATCCAAGCCGAAACACCCTCTCACCTCTGTACTTCCTCTCTAGGCTCACATACCATAGTTAAGGGTCCGTGTGTGAAGAACCAAAAAAGAGCGACTTGGCTATCTATGCCTGTTCTTCTGCCTGGCTGGCATGATTTCACTAGTGGAGTCAGAAATGGGAATAAGTCAACTAGAAATGGTAGAATCTCTTGGAAAATGTTTTGAAGTATTTATTCATGAGGGATTTTTCTGTTGATTATGATGATCTCGGTTGGTTTATAAGTTCCTTTATTTATTTTTTTGGCACCAGGGATTGAACCTAGCGGTGCTTAACCACTGAGCCACATCCCCAGCCCTTTTAAAAAAATTTTTAAATTTTGAAAAAGGGTCTCACTAAGTTGCTGAGGCTGGCCTTGAACTTGCAATCCTCCTGCCTCAGGCTCCTGAGCTACTGGGATTACATGTGTGTCATTGCGTCCAGATATAAGTTACTTGACTATAGCTATGCTTATAATATTTAAGCTCCAAACATATAACACATTTTTATGTACTTCATGGATTTAAAAGTATGCTAACCTGGCTCCAAATCCATGTGGGTAGAAGAAAACAATAGTGACAATAACATTAAACACATATAGCATTTACCCGGCAACTTTTGCTCTGGTTCAGATTTGAGTGTATCCCCAAAAGCTGGCCTCTGGGTGCCCAGTGTGGCGTGTGAGGGGAGTGGAAACTTTAAGGGAGAGGGGTAGTGGGAGATAATTAGGTCACTGGGGGCACTGCCTTTGGAAGGGATTGATGCTGGTCTCTTGCAGTGAATTGGTTCCCTTGAGAGTGGGTTGTTTTAGACTGGCCCCCGTCTGCCCTCTCTGGCTTCCCGTATGGCCAAGTGTACAATTCATTGGCTTGATAAATTTTAAAGTTGTTAAAAAAAAATATGTAATATATGTAGTTAAAATTTTATATGTATATATAAAACTTCAGATTTGTATACATATAGAACTTTAAATTAACCACTTTAATCACCTCTAAGCATTAAGCTCTCTGGGAATTTCCGGGGAGAAGGAGCTCCTGCTTCACCTCTGAGCTGCCCCACTCACATCTGCTAGGCTTTTGCTGCAGCTGGGGGGCTGCAGGTGGGCACTAGAGACAGCTTCCAGGACTGTGGACTTCCTCTGGTGTGGCCATCCCAGGACTCCAGGTGATCTTCTGGCTGTGGAAGAATGACCAGTAGGGTACCACCAGGATATTCCTAAGTTACTAGACTGAGCCATAGGAAACTGTCAGTATTTGACCATCTGACCACGTCTAAAAATGGTAATTCCATGTGGTTCAGCCTAAACTTTCAATATGTGGAAACAAAGGCAAGAAACAAGCCCAAAGAACTTACTGCCTGCAACAGGAAGCAGACTGTGTTTTCCAGAGTCTTAACCTCACAGTTCATTTTTAGTCTTGTCTGAGGCTCTTTTAGGGGTTGAATTGTCTCTCCTCCTACGAAGGGAATGTTTAAGTCCTAATTTTCAGAATTTTATAATGTGACCTTATTTGAAAATAGGATCTTTACCCAGGTAATAAAGTTTAAAATGAGGTCACTCAGGTGGGCTTTACCAATATGACTGGAGTCCTTATAAAGAGGGGAAATTTGGACACAGATCTGCACAGAGGAATGGGATGTGAAGACACAGGGGACTAACTGTAAGGTTAGCAGAAGTTAGGAGAGGCAGGAAGGAGCTGCTTCCCTAGCCCTTCAGAGGAGCACTGTCTTCTCAATACCTGAATCTTGGCCTTTGAGCCGTCCAGTTTGTAGCATTTTGTTATTGTCCCAGGGAACTAATACAGGCTTCTTCCAGGGATGACCCAACAGCACAGCCTATGTTAAAAATGGTACAGTGGTTTAACCTCCAGAACCCCAGACCACAGATTTGGGGAATCCATTCCTATAGGAACGGTTGTATTTCCTACTCTGGCCAAAAAGGTTTGTTTGTTCAGATACAATAAAGTTAGCTTTGCAAGTTCCACATGTGCACACCCCACACAAACCCACACATTTACTCCTTCATTTGGTTGCAGTATTCTGAAGTTTATAGCCATGGTTTCAATACAATTTTTTTCTCCCAGTCTCCAGCAGGCAGATGTCACGCTTGTGCAACTTTAATGAGCCTGTTCAGATTTAGGAGAACCACATTTATCCTCAGGAATGCAAAGAATCGCTGATATCCTCACAGGGAGTGTTCTTTGTTCAAAAGTTGAGATGGTGGAGAGTTCTGGGAGTCACACTTTGAAGGCTGTTCCAAAAGGTCAGTGTCAGCAGGCTTCCTTTGTGGGGGATTCAGCACGGGTGACGGAGCAGGAGTGGGGACAACGGCTTCTGGAGGAGGGAGGCCCTCGTGCAGAAAGGTGTGGAATCCATCATCAGCTCTTTTTCCTTAAACTTTTATCAGGATCCAGCTTTATAAATAAGGCTAAACCAACAAAACAGCAGAAACAGTCGTAAGTCAACTGACTTCAGTTTGATGAGCCTACCTCTAAACAGAAAGGCGCACAGGAGGGAGGCGGTCTGATTCCTATCTGTCCCTTCCGTCTGTTGGCCCATTCTCACTTCTCAGCCAGGCTCAGAATCAACCTCTGACTGCCACAATACTATATGAGCTCCCCTGGATAGCCAGGTCCTCTGCTTCTTGGCTATTTCATGGTTCATTACCACTTCCATTAGAGATAGCTAGGGAAATGAAAAGAAGTAAAATTACTACTGAGCCATCTGGTACCTTTATGATATGGAAAGGTTTAGCAAGACAGGAATTACAAGCTATAGCCTGGAACGGAGTTATAAATTGACTGAGGATTCAAATTATTCACGATCTCCCTCCTGCTCCTTTCATCCATCATTCCTGCAAACAGCTGATACTTAGGGAGAAAATGAATTCGTGAAGATATAAAAAGCATCAACCATCAAGGGAAAAATCTAATAAATGAGACTACATTAACATTAAAAACTCCTGTCTGTAAAAAGATATCTTAAAGAAAATAAAAAAAGCAAAACGACCTTACATACCAGAAGGAGGTATGAGCAACATATATATTCATCAAAAGTATTATCTAATATGAAATATATAGAGGACTCCTATAAATAGGAAAATGAAAAAATAGAAAAAGAAGCTCAGCAAACAAATTTACAGAATGGGAAACAAAAATGGTCAATAAACATGGGGAGACACTCAACCCTACTGGGTAATCAGGGAACTGCAAATCCAGGTCATGCTGAGAGGGAGGGAAGGGAGGGAAAGAGAAAGTGCTGGGGGTTGAAGTGGAGCCCTCTACAGCCCATGCAGGTATGATCACGTCAGGTGAACTCAACTATCATCTATGCCTATAATGCCGTATAGGAACATCTTAGAAAGATTATACTGAGATATAACCATTTAATTGGCAAAAATCAAGAAGTCTTACTTCTCCATCTGCTAGAGAGGATAGGGATCACAAGAATACATTGCTGGTGGGAGTCCAGTTTGATACAGTTTTAGAAAACAAGTTGGCATTCTTTTGTAAGGCTGAACATTTACACCCTACAAGCAGAGATTCTACTCCTAAGTATGTGTTTGCAGTAGCCCATTCAAATTGTTAAGAGGCCCACTGTGGCCTAGTCATATATGGAAAATTATTCAGCAGCAAAAATGAGGAACTTCATAGCCAACAATATGGATGAACCTCAGTGACATACAGCTCAGAGAAAAACAAAAGTCTCAGAAAAGCAGAAACATCACAATTTCTTCTACAAAGTTCAAAATCAAACAGTGAAACAGTACATTCCTCAGATATTCTTTTTTTTTTTTTTTAATACCAGGGATTGGACCCAGGGGCTGCTAAACCACTGAGCATACCCCAAGTCCTGTTTAAAAAGTATTTTGTTTAGAGACAGGGTCTCGCTGAGTGGCTTAGAGCCTTGCTAAGTTGCTGAGGCTGGCTTTGAACTTGTGATCCTCCTGCGTCAGCCTCTAGACCTGCTGGTATCACAGGCATCCACCACGGTGACTGGCCTCCTTAGATATTCTTGATAAAAATTTTTAAAAGCACATAAACAAGTTCTTGGATACAATTTTTAAAAATAAAAACAAAACGGTACAAGAGAATAAAAAACTCAAAATTCTAGATCAGAGTTACATTGAAGTAAGAGGAGGAGAAGGAAACAGAAATTAGGTAGGGACAAAATATTATTTAAGAGTCTGTTCCTGTTTTCTTTCCTTTTTTTTTTTTGAGGTTGGGGAACCAAGGATTAAACTCAGGGGCACTCAACCGTTAAGCCACACCCCCAGCCCTATTTTTATTTTTTTAGAGACAGGGTCTCATTGAGTTGCTTAGTGCCTTGCCTTTGCTGAGGCTGGCTTTGAACTGACAATCCCCCTGCCTCAGCCTCCCAAGCTGTTGGGATCATAGGCGTGCACCACCGTGCCTGCCCAGCTTGTTCCTGTTTGATGGTCCCAGGGAGTTTCATTTATAATTAGGTCCCAGGGTGTTTCATTTTTTATTAAATTTAACACAGAAATTTATTAGGAAATGAATAAATAAAAGATGACCACTCACGAACCAGTGACAACTCCGTGTACTAACTCATGGATTATGACTAATCTAAAGATGTATATTTGAGGTACACTAAAATAAAGGAAGAATAAAAACAAATGAAAACCAGTGGCTATCTAGCCTGTCCAAGTCTGATGCTAAGGAAGGTAAAGCTTCATCGGCCCTCACTTGCAAAAGGCCCTGGTTGAGCTAGGAGTTGTGCAGTGCTTTAAGGATGCCATCAGGAAACATTTCTCTATGAGATTTCTAACAAAATGCCTACAGATATCTCAGCAGGAAGGGTTCTGCACCTCTAAGATGAAAGTAATACTCTGGGATTTATTTATTTCTCCTTGTAAATAAAATTTCACTTTTATACCTAATTTTGAATTCTTTTTCCTTGAGTTGCATGAGCTTTGAACTTTGTAAAACATAGCTCCTCTTTTTGGTAATCCATGCACATAACTTCTTTCATAGAGCCAAAAATTAAAAAAAAAAAAAAAAAAGATGCAATCCCAGCTGTTTGGAGACTGAGGCAGGAGGATAGCAAGTCTGAGGCCAGCCTAGGCCTCTTAGAGACCCTGTCTGAAAATAAAAAAAAGATCAGGGGATATAGCTCAGTGACAGAGTGCCTGCCTGGCATGCTTGAGGCCCTAGGTTCCAACCCCACTCCTGGGGGGAAAAAGGTACAAAAGGGCAGACAGAGGAATCTTCTTCCCAATCTACTGTCCCCTTCAAGTAAGAACAAGTCATGTGTTTAGCCTTGGTGAGATAGTCCTTGCAAATGCAGTATATGCATACTTCCCCTCCTTTCCATTTATTACTTCCTACTTTGAAAGAATTTCAAGATTACAGAAAAATTGTGAGAATAGTACAAACATGTATTCGCCCTCAAACCACTGGAGAGCAATCTGGCAAAATGTGTATAAAATGACAAATATATAAAGTTATTTGTTACAATATTATTTGCAGGAGCAAAAATTGGGAAAATACATGTCCAGGGCCTCCAGTCTCAAGTAACCACAAGATTCATCCTGTTCTCTTTTTCCATGCCTGGACTCCTCCTTGAGAGTAGGAACTGGCTCTCATACAGATGCCGTCTGCATTGCTCACGGGCTCGGACACCCACGCCACTCTCCAAGGGACACCTCCCTGAACTGCTCTGGTCTCTGAGGCACTCGTGCCCAACTCTACTTAAGGGTTCTTGGAATAAATCAATCAGGAAGGAAGGAAAGTATGAGGGAAAGTGAAAGAAAAGGGGAAGCAATGAGAAGAGCTTCTCTACTTTTTTTCTATATTAGTGCTAAGATACTGTGTTTACTGTTTTTTATTTAATATATGATAGCTCCATATCAAAGAATTTCCCTACTATTATTATTTTTTGTGGTACTAGAGATTGAACCCAGGAGTGCTCTACCACTGAGCTACATTCCCAGTCCTTTTAATTTTGTATTTTGAGACCAAGCCTCACTAAGCTGCTGAAGATTGCTCTAAATTGCTGAGGTTGACAGCAATTGTGATCCTCCTGCCTCAGCCTCCTGAGTAGCTGGGATTACAGGTAGGTGCCCTAGAGTTTCCTTATTCTTACCACAGTGTTCCTCACAATATTTCTTATGGTACAGACTCAATATAGTTTAGGGATGAAACGTAGTTCTTCAACCAGTCCCCTGTTGAGGGATACCTAATGTTTTGCCAACTTTTTGCTATTTGCAAGTAATGTTGGAATGTAACAAATACTGGAACTAGAGGGCAGCCTAAGACATTATAATTTTGCTCACATGTTAGCATAGTTGTGAGATAAAATACTGGAAGTGGGCCAAAGGGCACATAACTTTGTAATTTTGATGGATATTGGCAAATAGCCTCTCATCAGCAATGTATAAGAACACCTTCAAGCCAGGTGTGGTGGCTCATGCCTGTAATACCAGTGCCTGGGAGGCTGAGGCAGGAGGATCACAAGTTCAAAGCCAGCCTCAGCAACTTAGAAAGGCTCTAAGCAACTCAGTGAGATCCTGTCTCTAAATAAAATATATATTTTTAAAATATTTAGAGTTGTAGATGAGCACATAGTATCTTTTTTTTTTTTTTTTTTAATGTGGTGCTGAGAGTTGAACCCAGTGCCTCACACATACGAGGCAAGGGCTTTACCACTGAGCTACAGCCCCAGCCCCTAAATAAAATATTTTTAAAAGGGTTGGGGATGTGGCTCAGTGGTTAAGCACTCCTAGGTTCAATCCCTAGTACCAAAAAACAAACCAAAAAAAAAAAAAAAAAAACCCTTTAATTTGTTGTGTGAACGAGAGAATTAATCAAAGCCAACAAAGCCAAAACAGAACCCGACCCCACCCTTCTTACCTGATGCCTCAGAGTGTAAGGTCTTCTCATCAACACTTCGAACGTTACAGGAAACAAACAGTTTCCTTCCTTCGACTCTATCAAGTTGGCTGTCTATCACAACAACAGAAGACAGGGGAATAGGTCTATCAAAGGGGGAAAAAAAGAAAAAACATCAGTTTTGTGAATGTTATGTAGCACTGAGAGACGATGGAGTGTGTGACAAGGGCGGGCCTTTAGAGACCTGCTGGGGGGGCAGCGAGCACTGACTGCCACCAGCCTCCTCTCAGGGTGCCCTGCTCTGGAGCCGATGCCCTTAGGTGTTCCCTGGTCACATCCCAGCCTGCCCTTCAGGGCTGGGTCCAAAAGGACAACCAGGGCTCCCGCTGTGGTGGCAGCGGCTGTCCCACCTGCAGACCCTGAGCAAAGTCTGAAGGAGGTCAAGATCTTTAGCGAAGTGAAAGAGGGCCGTGGGGTGCCTCGTCAGGCTGTGGGGTGGGCCTCGTCAGCTTTTCTCATGCCTCTGTCACAACCCAGATTTCTTGCCAGTTCTCTTAGAGTAGCTGTCACTAAAAAGACACTAATAAAGGGCTGGGCTGTGGCTCAGTGGTAGAGCACTCGCCTAGCACCTGCAAGGCCCTGGGTTCGATCCTCAGCACCGCATTAAAAAAATAATAAAATACAATAAAGGTATTGTGTCCAACTACAACTAAAAAAAAAGACACTAATAACAAATTGCTGGTAACAAGTTACTGTTCCAAGCCAGGGCTCTTTAGTAGAACTTTCTGTAATGATACAAATGCTCCATTTCTGAGCTGTTCAATCCCATAGTCACACGTGGCTATTGAGCACTTGAAATATGGCTAGTATGAGTGAGAAATGGAATCTTTAAATTTATTTAATTTTAATTAATGTCTATTTAATTGTTTTCCTAATACTAGGGCTTGAACCCAAGGGTGCTCTACCACTAAGCTACATCTTCAATCCTTCTCATTTTTGATTTGAGACAGGGTCTTGTTAAGTTGCCCAGGCTAGCCTCGAACTCAGTCTCCTGAGTTGCCAGGATTACATGTGTACACAATCATGCCTGGCTATACTTAATTTAAAGAGCTGCATGTGAATAGTGGCTGTAGTTACTACTGGAAATACATTACCTAGTGAAAAGTGTATCTCTTTCAAGGTGAAATTTCAGTTGGCAGAACATAAAACACAAGGTAGAGCATGGAGATGATTTATACTCACCACCCTGTGGATCAAGGAACTACTTCAGGCAGAAAGGAAATTTTCACTGTGCCCCTGCCCAGTATTCCCTCCTGTGACCTTTCGATACTTCCATTACCATTCACTTTCCTAACCTCTTGATGGAACCACCAGGCTTTGCTCTTTTATGGAACCAATTCAAGATTTACCGACACCCTGGGGCACTAGGTGTTCTTGCCGGTCCAGCATCTCTTTTCTATTAACATTAATCCCAGCATTTACCTGTGCCCTACCCCTTACCTCATTCTCTCTTTCACATACTCAAATACCCCTCTCAGTGGGGACCCAGCTCTCCCTCATTCCCGCCCAAGGCAGGACTGGAGTGGACAGTGCTGCCCCCTACCTGCCATAGTGAATGGTCGTCGGGCTGACCATAGGCTGAAAACAGCCAATTCTGGGACTTGCCCTAGATTCCTTGGGGCTGGATACTTTTTCTGCTGGGGCTGCTAGGCTTACAAGGTAGAAGACTGGATGGTGGCCATGGTGCCACTACATAGGGGGAAGCTGCTTGAGGATGAAGCCGAGCCAGAGGAAAGCACGACTGAGATTCCGGACTGCATCCCTGCACATCTGCACCCGCCATGCTTGACTCCCCGACCACCTGAGCCAGCATATTCCACACACTCCCTTTTCCGTGTAAGAAGAGTTAGGAAGTCTCCCCCTTTGACAGAAAGTCCTTGACTAGCAGAGAGGCAAGAAAATCAGAAAATGTAAAACAATAGAGCAACTATGTTTGTAGAATATAATTTTCTAACTGTAAGTAAGGTACAGGTTTATTTGGTTGGCACAGAAAACAGGCTTTATATAATTTTCCTTAATCCAGTTTTGCAAGACAACTTCATAAGATTTGTATGAGAAACAGAAAAGTGATAATAAAGATGAAATCAAAATTTAAAAATAAAAGAGAAAAAAATATCAGAAAGGCTTAAGATGAAGGATGACTGTGGCCAAAAAGGACAAAACTACAGATTTAGCTCAGATGAATATTATGTCAATATATGTCAAAATGGTTAAAAACTTCCATGAAATGGAAAAGAATTTAAAACATGTTATTAAAATCAACAGTAAATATCCGGCATATATTCACTAACCCCAAAACTCTGTGGCACTTCAGGAGGCACACAGCCTCAGGAGAGCTCAGAGAGTGGAGTCATGCTGCCTTATGAGGATGAATGCCTACCCTTAAGTGGTGACCTCATCACGCAGAAAGATTCTATCCTTTGTGCCCACTTGGACAGCTGAAAACGTGTCTGATGAGTCTTATTTCAGGAACCAAGGACTGCAGAAAATATTAGCCTCTACATTATGCATGAAGCCTACTTGAAATCTTGCCTTTTATAAAGGAATAAATAGTGTGAATACGTTGAACTACACATTTTTAAAACTGGATTGACATTAAGTATAAGGTTATAATAACATAAAAATCAACAATAAGGGATTAGAAAGACTGAATAGTTGAATAGGGAAGATGGTGAGGCCTGAAGAGGATAGAGGAGCCACACTGGGGGAGGAGCCAGGAGAACCACACAGGACTATTACGTAAACAAAAAAGCCTAATAGTTTAATGTAATAAAATGTGGGGATGTTATAGTCGCTGTGTAACCCTAATTTACTACAGATTTTAAAAATATTTTCTTACTTTGGACTTCTTTATTGTGGCCAGAGAAACTGTTCTGTAAAATTCTGATTTTTTAAAATTAATATTGAGATTTGATTTATGAACCAATCCATGACTGTTCAAATGTGTGCTGGGGAAGGAAAGTGTGTTTTTTCTAATTGATGGATATAGGATTCTACATCTGTCTAATAAAATATCCTTGGTATCTTCAGATGTGGATCCTTCCCCCAAGTAGCCTACCTCTGTGCCTGGTTTCTCATAGTGTTCAAACCTTGTTTTCTTTTTGGTGCTGTGAGTTGAACCCAGGGATGCTCTGCCAGTTCTTTTTATATATAGAGAGGGTCTCACTAAGTTGCTTAGGTCTCTCTAAATTGCTGAGACTGGCCTTGAACTTATGATTCTCCTCCCTCAGCCTCCTGAATTGCTGGGATTACAGGCATTTGCCACTGTGCCTGGCAAAGCATTTTTTCTGATATTTTTGTCTGTTTGACCTACTAATAATTGGGAAGGGCATGTTGGGAGCTCCCACTATGAATGTGGAATAGTCAATTTGTCTCTATCAATTTCGCTTTATGTTTTAAGTTATTTTCTTAGGTATATTCTGATTTAGAATTGTTACTGTTCTCTATTAAGTTAAAGCCATTATAATTTTGAAGTAGCTTTCTTTTTTTTTTAATATTTATTTTTTAGTTTTTTCGGTGGACACAACATCTTTATTTTATTTTTATGTGGTGCTGAGGATCGAACCTAGCACCCTGCGCATGCCAGGCGAGCGAGTTACCGCTTGAGCCACATCCCCAGCCCTTGAAGTAGCTTTCTATATCACTAATATTACTTCAAAAAAAAAGTTTTATTATTGCCTAAGCATCAAACCAGAATGTGATGTGCATAACAATCAATCTGTTAAAAAAAAGAAAAAAGAAAAAAGGTAAAGTCAGAGAGAAATCTCATCCTTTCACATAAGTAAGCAGACAACTTATTACAATCATTTTTAAAAACCGGTGCCCAATTCATTATGCCATCATCAGCATGTACAAAATTTGATCAAACTCATTCCCTACTACTTCTCTCCTTTCCCTTCCTTCTTCTCTCCCCTGATCTGCTTGCTCTACTGTACAGATCTCCCCTCTATTATTTTCCTGTTATTTTAATTAGTATAATTTTATACATACATTTGTGTGTGCATAATACACAAATATATATACAAATACCCACACATATATGAGACCGAACCTAATATTACTTTCTTGGCAATTTATTATTTTTCTTGTTACATTAGCTTTCTTCTGGCTTTTTCATAGCGTACTTTCCTTCCTTTTGAACTTTTTGTGTCATGTTTTGAATATGTCTCACATAGACAGCTTCTAGTTTTTATTTTCAAATTAAATTTTATAATGTCTCTGAAATGATGATTTGGTTCACTTATATACAATGTAATTATTGCCCTTTTTATTGAGACAGGCCCTTGCTAAGTTGCTGAGGCTGGCCTTGAATTTGTGATGCTCCTGCCTCAGCCTCCTGAGTCACTGGGATTAGAGATGTATGCCACCACACCCAGCACTTGTCTTTCTTTTTGACTCATCTTTTTTTTTTTTTTTTTCCCACTTGCTGTTTAAAAAATTGAGTTTTTCCTAATTTGATTAGTACTCTTTTACTATTTTGGTTACTGGTTTATATTCATTTTCTTTTATTTTAATCATGCTCTCCACTGAAAAATACCAGGATGTTTGAGTATCAACTCTGTTCACGCCTTCCCAAGCTACTTGCTGCTGTGGTCCAGTATTTGAGACACCCCTTTGTTAGAGCCTAGAATGTAGACAGAGTCAGTGATTATGACAGACTGTTTACCAGTTTGTCTGCCCTCTGTTCCTTCTCCCATCCTGCTGCCTGTTGGGATTGCTCCCCTCCTCCTGCAGCGCATCCTTCAGAAGTTCCCCGGGTGTGGTCCTATTGCTCTGTAAACTTTCTCCATTTTTGCTGACAGCATTATTTTAGGTTGATGTGTTTCTTTCAGCACTTTCAAGATATTTTGCCTTCTGCTATTGCTAGTGGGAGATTTATTGCTAGGATACTGGTGCACTCTGGCTAAGAAGCAAGATGGCTCTGCTGAGGGTGCTGTTTTTATTTTTATTTATTTATTTATTTTTGTGGTGCTGGGGATTGAACCCAGGGTCTCGTGATGCTAGCATCCTGGTCTTTTGTCTCTGACTGCTTTTACAATATCTTCAGTATTTTGCAATTTTCTATAATATCTCTACTTATAATTTT